TTACTATACTCACTTGAGTATGATGAATGGAGGATAATCTGTCAAGGGAGACTGTTAGCAACAGTTAGCACGGGGTAGGTGATGAATAGACTATTCTATCTCTCCTTTAACAAAGAAAAGCTTTGGAACTGTAAAGTCGAACGTGTCCACATGGAATGCACTGATGGATGACAATGGTCTTTTAGAACCTCCCATTTGTACTCCTCTCTATTAAGCACCTGCACATAGAGCGGCCAAAACATTGCCCACTGCCTGACTGATGCGTTGCAAGACGACTTTTTGTCCTCTGACGTCAATATTTATCGCCGAATGACACTCTAGCTCTGTTTTCCAAAACGTTAAATCACCCAACCCTTTAACCTCAAGTGATTGCCATTTATATCTCTCTTTTGCTGTTTGTGCATGTGCATACATAATGAAATGGATATTCATTGGTTCGCGCAGATTTGTAAACCTGCCAAATGACTTGTTCAAAGCAAATCTCTCTTGCATTTGTACTAAAATGGAAAGTGCTTAGAAGCACTCATGGGTGAGAGGATAGGCCAATTCGTCAGAAGAATGTTCTATCCAAACGGTCTAAGTACTCAGATCATTTTCTCTAGAGAGCTACGGTCTTACTGAATTTGGCCGTGAATTCGAAACAGAGCACCCTTACCAATCAATGTCGTCTCTTGCACACCGGTGACCTCAATGACCAGCACCAATACGTTTCAGCAAATAGGACCGTGAGTGTGTTGTCGAAGTAATGAAACTGTACAGAGCGTATGGGGCAGTTGGGTGGCCGTTAGCAGCCGCAAGACCATTAGTCTCGCGTCACCGAGTGGAGAGGTCGCCTGCCTTCAGAGTGGATCGTGGGTAAAGTGTTGTTGCATGTGCTTAATTAGTGCCTGCGCCCACTGATCCATAAACTTGCAATCATTTTCGGTGAGTCGGAGAGTGACATTAGAGGGGTATATGCTGGTCCGGGGGGAGAGCTGGGGTGTCTTGGTGGCCTAATGGATAAGGCGTGGGTTTCTGGAGCCGAAGAGTGTGGGTTCGAGTCCCACCCAGGATGACTGGCCTGTGGCCTCCTCCGACGCAGTGGTGCGAAGTAGTTGGAAGGCGTGTGTTGTTGACGTGTACATCACGTCCCCAAAACTTACTGCATCTCTCGTTGTCGAGGCGTTGTAATGTCAGGGTTCTCAGGACGGGCGTCTTTCCGCGTGCGTGAAAGGCACAGGTTCATTTGTGCTTATTTTTGTAGAAAACACTGTAAACAACAAGGTCCGCTTTAGCTACTCAGACTCACTGATGGATACAAGCTTCTTCGACTGGCCTCAGGTAAAATCTCACACCGGTCGAAGGATGCATCGAACCGTAAATGAAAAGTAAAACAACCCGATAATTGCATGTACTACACCTACAAAGTGAGTGAAATTGCACTAAGTGGATGTGACTTCTTAATCCCATGAATTCAGACCTGGAAATCAAGAGGATGAAGATTATAAGTGGCAGAGAATTTGGGAAGACCGCTTCATCAGTACGTTTTATTTCGTATCCTATACAACTAACTCACGGTCTCACTATTGCTCTTGTTCTCAATATCCCAGCCGCACTACCACTCACGAAGAACATCCTTGGATCGGTCCTGTAGAGAAATTGCGCATTATTCGGTGCCAGGGAAATGGTCAGCTGGCCACCCGAATTCCCCCAACTTGCCAATCAAAATACCCACTCGCCCTTGGCTTCTGTATACCCTGCCGTTAATAAGGCAGGCCTAAATATGTGAATTAAAAATAAACCCTAATTCTTTACACGGGCCTGTCGTTTTCTCGGTAAGTTTATCAGTAAGTCAATCGCCTCCTGTCTATGGATGCGTTTCAGATAATACAGGTATTAAAAAATCGTCACCTAGCCACTCACAACACATCCGAATCATATGTTGATAAGTTGCTCACCTGTCTAGGCATTGCGCTCCACCAATCCCGTCTCTCTAAATGGAGCAACTCAATTGTCGCACTGACGTTCTGTCGCCTTTAAATGCAGCTAACACGACTTTGCATAAAGCCATGTCCTTATCACATCCGATTTGACATATGCTTTGCAGTTTGTGAATCAGAGATGATGATGAGATTGCAAAAAGTACACATCGGCA